AATAATCACATAATCTGTCATTACAGTTTATTACTTTTAACAGAAATCCAAGTGTTTATCCTCAGATACAACATACACAAGAGAGTTAGAAACTTTTCTATAACACCTAGAGGTTGTACAAAGTTATCATTTTGTCCCAGGTCTGTAAGAAGAATAGTGAGGGGAAGACAAGCGAGAAACATGGATAAGGCTCTTCTGGAGTTAAACACATATCAGCAGCTGCCACTTTCTCAGCTTTATATTCATTGGTCCCTTTTAATCTGTACATTAAAGCTCTGTCTTTACCTGCTTCTTTACCATCTTTCTCAGAGAAGCCAGAAAATATCACACTATGCATGTCGTACGCATCTTCTGACAAAGAAAATGAAGAGGAAAAATAGAGAAAACACCTAAAAACTGTCTGAAGACAAAATACGCAAATGGTGAACAGAGAACAGCGGAAACCAAGAACACCTCTAGCAGTTGAAGGAAGTGACACTGTAACTTCTGAAAACACGATGATGAATAACTTTGGTCCTTTGAACTTCCAAAACAAAATAATGCTATATTTACAGGAAACACAACGCACCTCACAAACTCACAGTGTTAGTTCACAACTAAAGCAGGAAGAACATGAAAGTGTCTTTTTTTCCCCTTGCATCTGTTTATATTATGTAATGCAATAATTGTTCCACACTCGATCTACTGCTGTATTGATGTTTGGGGAAAATGGTGCAAAACAATTACAAACCTCATTTTTGTTTTACAGAAAAGAGCTGCAAGAATTATCACCAGAAAGCATTAATATCACACATCAAATTCATTGTTCCATCAGTTGAAGTTATTGAAATTATCTGATTTGGTTGATTATAGTATTTTATCAGTCATGTATAGGGCTGATAGAAACACATTACCTTCAAACATCCAATTACACTTTGTTAAAAGAGAGAGTTGTTATAAACTCAATGGGATAGAAATGTTTGTTAAACACAAATTTAGGACATGTTTGAAGGAACAAAAGTACTTCAGGTCAGGGTATAAGATTATGGAATAATCTGGAGGACGACATTAAAAATGCCAGATCAATGTGTATATTTAAGAGAATGATAAAGGTCAATTTGCTGGAGAAATATGTAAATTGTTGTTCAAGAAGTTAAACCTTTATTATTTTTCTTTTCTTTTTTTGTAAAGATTAGTTTTGATTGAATTTATTTATTTGAGAAAAAGTGGCAGATATAATAAGAGTTTTCTTCTTCTGCTAC